GCTCGCACTAGGGCATGATCTGAATCTAGACATGTGCTCCAGAAAGAGCGACAGTCTTCTATCGAACCCCTCCATCGGTGGCTGATGGCGATATCATCTAGTTGCGTCCAACGTTGAAACGACTTTGGAGGTCGCCAGGTCAACAGATGCTTTTCCTTATGCCTAAAGTTAGTGTTTGCTAAGAATAGGCGGTTGTCTGAGCATACTTGCAACAGACGGTCACCATTGTCTGTTCTCTGAGCCGCGACACCATAACATCCACCTAGGTGTCATTCATTTTCACTTGGTCTACCTACTTGAGCATTAAAGTCACCAGCCATTATTACTATATCAGAGCGCCTAGCTTTTTGGAGGAGGTCCGAAAGCTTTCTGTAAAACTCATCCTTAACCTCGTCTGAACTGCATTCAGTGGGGGCATAGGCAGATACGATGAAGAGACAACGACGGGTGTCCCTATCTTTCCGAGTCCTTACTTTCCCGTTTAGTCGGACAGCGCACAATCGACTATCTATTGGGATCCAGTGAAGGAGAGATTGTTCAGCTCTACGACTCAATGCTATGCCTACACCAGCAAGACCCCGGGAAGCAGCATCAGGGCTACCGGATACACGAAGAATATATCGAGCTGCTTCTTTATTTTGACAAGGTGAAATCAGATTAATAATTTTACTAGAATCCTGTATGCGCGTTTCCGAGACGCAGCATACATCGATGGCACGAGATTCTAAAGTCCTAGCTAAGGAAGCCTGTTGCCCTATTTGACACAATGTCCGTACATTAAATGCTCCAACATGTAGTCTAGAGCGAGGTTTAAGGAGACCAGGAACGACGTTTCGCGAACTCGTATCGTCTGCATTAGCTGTGCATTGTGATGAATGAATGTGAGGAGAGTTAGTCGTGGAGATGAGATAGGTACTAGGGGGTGTAGGAAGGATTTGATTTTGACCAATTCGGTCTCGCGTGCTGTTACGGGTATGAGGGCGGTTGTCACTTCCCGGCTGCCCACACCGTGGAAGGTGGTTTCTTGAGGGACCTGAAAAGGAAGATAGATTAGTGTTGGTGCGTGACCGCAGAGCCCAAGGAACAACTGCTTGAGGCCGGTCACGCACGGCCTTTTTTAAGAAATGTTTTTTGAGGATTAGCTCCGTTCTTAAAAGCCCTTAGTGGGCACCCTTACCCAGGGAGACGGAAATCCGTGAGTTAGGGGAGGTGTGACATTTTTAGGGCCGACCTTGTCTAACCCTTCTTTCCTTGTGAGAAGGCAGCATCGCTGTAGATGCTGGTTGTCCGAGGGAAACACCTTACTGCTGTCACACCCCTCCATCACAGTCAGCAGTACGACTTCGCCCTCAGACCTTGGGTAGCTGCTTTTAGTCTCATCGTCCTCCAATCGACCAGCCTGGCATGGTAGAACCTTGAGGAACATATGTTCCAGCCAGTATAGCTCGTTTGGGTCATCACGATAGGCAAGCCCGACCACCACGTCAAGGTAGCAGCTACAGTCGGGATTGTTTTATATATATATATATATACTTGGTGATACTTTCAATCAAAACTTACAACTGCATTGTGGATCACTGAATCCAATATATCCTTATTAATGTGCGATACTAGTAGGAAAATTGTCAGTTTGTCTTCGTCTATGTTAGCGGTAACTCATGAATTTATAAAACTTCACATCAGATGTCAGACAGCAACGACGTAGAACTTCGTACGTACGTACATCAATCCAACTTGCCATACCACATTAGCATAGAAACTCAGTCGTCAATTCAAATCAGATAGTGGTAGAGGTAGTAGAAGTATTAGCAGTAATGGAGAAGATTATGGACGGAAGATATTATTCAAGAAGTATAATTTAGTGAGATAACTTTAAGGAAAGATAGAGATGACGAAGAACTCAGAAGTCTATGATTTTACAGAAAACAAAGAGTGGATGAACCTGCGCCATTACAAACGATTTTGAGCCATGTCATTCAGGATCCCTAACCATCGATTACTCTCATCTCGCGAGCCCCGACCAGATAGTCGACACCTACTGACATGACTCAGTCAACCTGTCAGTGACTTCATGGATTTGTGCCATGTTTTGGTCTGGCCGCTCCTAGCCATTTTCCAACCTGCTCCTACACAAAACATACCTAAAATGGTGATAGGGAGTGAAGTAGTCGAACGTGTAGACCGCTTCACTTATCTGAGGACTCTCATCATTACTGATTGTCTAGTGACTGACGAAATCTAAACACGGATACAGAAATCTCGATTGGCCTTTGCCAACTTGCGTCACTTATGGCTTAGGCAAGATACCCGTCTGGTAACCAAAGGACGAGTGTACTGCTGCGCAGTACACTCTGTCCTACTATAAGGTTGCGAAACATGGCCGGTGAGAGTAGAAGACATTCGTAGGTTATTAGTATTCGATAATAGATGTCTTCGGAGCATTTATCCTGAGACAACCGAGCAAGCAATGCTGTTATTAAGAAACCGGTGCTAGGTAAAGATGGCAGACTAATAGATGAAGTAATGAAACTTCATCAGTTGAGGTGGTTGGGATATGTATTACGTATGGCTAACCACCGACTACTTCGTCGAGCTATGTTTTGTGGTGTAGGAATAGGTTGGACGAAAGCTAGGGGCGGCCAGACCAAAACATGGCACAAATCCATGAATTAACAGACAAGTAGACTAAGTCATGTCGGTAGGTGTCGACTATCTGGTTGGGGTCCGCGAGATGATAATAATCGATGGTTAGAGATCCTGAATGACATGGCTCAAAATTGTTTGCGATTGCGCACGTGCATTCATTCTTTGAGTTCTCTCGAATTCTAATCTTCTGAATTCCTCATCGCCTTTATCTTTATAAGTTTATTTCGCTGAATTTTACTGCTTGAATAATATCTTCGAACCCTAATCTCTCCCATTACTGCTAATACCTTTACTACCTCTACTACTATGGGATTCGAATTGACAATTACAGCTCTGTGCTAATGTGGTATGGCAACATGAACTGATGTACGTATAAGTACGAAATTCTACGTTGCTATTGATGATGATAGCGACGTAGGCAGAGACAACAAATAGGCAAAAGCGTATCCCCATCTTTACGAGTCCTTACTGTTCCGTTTAGTCGAACTGGGCGCAAGCGACTATCTACTGGGATCCAGTCTAGGAGAGTGTTTTTCCCTAGGATTCAATGCTTTACCTACACCAGCGAGGCCACGGGAAACAGCAATGTGGCTTCCAGATACACGGAGTGTAAACCGAGTTGGTTCTTTATCTGAACAAGAAGTTAAATGAATGATTCTACTCGGACCCAGTATACACGTTTTGGAGAAGCAGCATACACTGATGGTACGAGATTTTAGAATCCCAGCTAAGAAAGCCCGTTGCCTTATTTAGTATAAGGTAAGGACATTAAACGCATGGTTTCTAGAGGCCAGGAATAACGTTTCGTGAACTCGAAAAGTTCACATCAGTAGCGTGAGGTGCAAAGGAATGAAAGACTGATCGTACAGATGAGAGAGTTATTTAGAGGTGTCAGAAGGATTGAATTATGACGAACTTGGTCTCTTGTGAGGGTTAATGTCACTTCGCAGCTGCCCACACCGTTAAAGGAAAATAGGATTAGCATTGGTTTTGAGGAACCTGAAAAGGAAGATATATTAGTGTTGGTCTTAGAGACTTGGGAGCGTGACCGCAAAGTCTAAGGGACAAGTCCTTGGGGTCGATCGCGCACGGCTTCTTTATGGGAAGTTTGTAAAGTGTTGGCTCCACTCTTCGAGTGGCCTAACCAGCAAGGACGGAAATCTGTGTGGCAAGATGAGGTGCGACATTTTGAGAATAGGTCATTTCTAACCCCTTCTTTCCTTGTGAGAAGGTAGCTCCGCTGAAGATGCTAGTTGTCCGACGGAGACAGCTTACTGCTGTCACATCCATCTACAGTTGAGAGTACAACCCGGTCCTTAGACCATGAATAGTAGGTTGGAAGCAAGCTAAAGGCGGCCAGACCGAAACATGGCAGAAATCCATGAAGTCACTGACAACTGGATTGAATTACGCTGGTAAATCTAGGCTACGTGGTTGGAATGCAATGGCGCAAGTGCATCCATTCTTTGTGCTCTCTCAAATCCTAATCTTCTGAATTTCTCGTGGCCGTTTTTTAACTGATTCCTCTGAGGTATACATCTCGGATGATACATTCTATTACTGCTAGTACTTCTACTACCTATAGGATTTGAATTGACAATTGCGTCCCTGTGCTAATGTGGTACGATAACTTGAACTGGTGTACGTACGTACGAAGTTCTACGTTGTAAGCTGCTGACTGACCTTGAGTTGTTGCTTTTAGTCTTACCGTTTTCCAATTGACCTACATCAGAGGTCACATCAGAGGTGGAAGGATTCGCTACATGACGGGTATTTTACACCCACACCAAAAGTCATTGGTTGGTTAGCAAAATGTTCCACCTATAGAAATGAGGTAGCTGTCGCGTTCGGTCATCAGTTATCCAGATTAATGTATATGGATTTAATCTGCCGAAAGAGGTCGGGATAGCTAGGTAGCATCATCAACGGTTTCTATGGGTGTGTACAAGATAGGTGGGCTAAAAATAATAATATTAAGGCGTTCACAAGAAAGCTTAGGAATAACTAAATGACTCTGGTTACAGTTCCTTTAGGTAAACAGTAATCAATGCACACTGTTGGTTTTGCATACTAAGTAATACGATTTGAGTGGCCTGAATAACCCGGTCTGTCTTTCCTTGACATCGAAACCAATAAAAATGTATTTTGTAAACACACGGCACTGACCTTACTGTAAACATATTTATAGGTAAATATCTGCATCATTTCAAACAGTCTATAGTTACAAACGTAAACAAACATAAACGCAAAAGATAAAGTACGACTGGAAAACAGAGAAGTTTCCGAGAAGTATAATTGAATATTATGAAATAAAATCACAAGCTCATCATTGACAATGAAAATAATATTATTTATCAGTTACATTCAATTTTAAGGAAATTGATTGGTACTAAGCCACCAACTTGATCACGTTCTCGCCAGACTTCACAGAATCCATCAGGAAGCAGTTTTCTGATTTGAACTTCGTCATCGCACTACAAATGTGGATAGCAATCGCAAATTAATTTTATGATTAAATATAACAGCATGTATGAAGCAAGTTGTACCTTGAAGTTTTGTAGGAGCTGGAAAACCATGATTCTGTACCAACGGTGCACATTAGCTCTAGGATCATGAAGTGTGAACTATTGCTGGTCAATTGCTGTGATTTGACAGTATCTCCTAAAGTTGTTCCACTGCCTTTTAAGTTAAACCTTTGAGTTACAGGTCTGGGGATTGGTCTCCTTAGAAAACCAAACTCTGGTTCAAAGAGATAGGTGGTATCTCAGCCCACACCAAAAGTCAGTGATTTGTGTGGCGCATAAACATTTTGATGCTCCTTAGTACCGATGTTTATATATTTATTAAGGGATAAAGGTAATACGAGAAAAGGAATATTTGAGTCAGGAGCTATCTAGACTAACAGTCAAATATGATTAGAGATCTAGAACACGTAAAGAGTCTGGTATGAATGTTTTCGGATATAATTGTCACATGCTATACGAGCACATACAGAAAAAATCAGCAAGATAAAATAGTAGTAAAATAAATGATAAAAAGAAGCTGAGAACCAAGGATAAATCTCAAAAAAGAACAAACGAAATTGTTTAACTTGCAGCATCTAATGTCATAAAATTTTCTAAGGATTTATTTCTAACAGGTGTAATAATATTCATTAAAAGATTGCATAAACATAACATTTGAGACATCAAACATAACGAACTAACCTCCACCTTCAAATGATTTGTCGCAAAGATGCTGGGATTTCTAGCCCTTACAACCTTCCCTGTAGCTGGTAACTGAACAGATTTGAGCATATGACAGTAGGTCAAACCAAGTTGGTCACCAAGACCCTTCAATCTAGCGACGATTTCAGGTGTAAACTAGAAAAACAGTAAAACCATAGACATATCAGTCGATAATATGAAGCATATTGTTAGCAATCTTGGCTTGGCGTATTTTTCAAGACGAAACGTTTATATATATTAGGCTTGCCGAGATGTTTTTACAGGTGTGACTACTAGATACAACACAGTGGTGTAGAAATTACTAGCGGTAAATAATATATCAGGTAATAACCAGCGGAATAGTGATCTAAGTATCTGAATTTCAACTAGCAGTTTGAGAGATATGCTCCACTTGATTCATGTACATAATTCGGACAGTACGGTAACTCTCCCAACAAGGGAGCCGATGGGAGCTGAAGACATAAATGTGTACCGTTACTAAAATCTTTATAATTAGGCTGTTATGAAAGAACGGTGAAGAGATTAATAAAACTTTGAGATTTAAAGTAATATATAACGTTTAAGAATATCAGTCTAATAACTTCTGAGTTAAAGCTTGCGTATGATAAAAATACAGAGCGTAACAGTTAAAACGTCTTCAGACCGTATAAACTGCAGTACTCACAGGAGTCAAGTAATTTGAAGGAACCCAACCAATACGGTTATCGCTTGATTTACACAGGATCCACTCCCTCTTTTGTCTGATGAAAGTTAACAAGTCTCCCCTCTGGAAGGAAAGATCTCCCTCTTCCTGGAAAATAAAGTGAAGTGGGAACTAATAACCTGTGCTTGAAATGAATATAAAGCAGCATAAGTAGCTTTTTGAGCTGGCTGTCTCATACGAGTATTTGATGAGTGTGAAGTGTGAAGTCTGACTAATTCATCTAGCGAAGAATAAAGAGTGTCACCAAACTTGAACTTATTGAGTTGAGGTGCCCATGTCAGAAGATAACGCTTGACTTCGTTTGCTTCTCTGATTATTAGCACATAAAAAATAGACTTACTTAATCGCAAGCACGTAACCTGACTTTGTTGTGCTATCACGGATCAAGAATGTCCCAACGGGTTGATCAATAAGAATTTCATTAGCTTTTTCTCTGCTTATTTCTCCGAAATACCACCTATAATATCAATGCAAATCACTTGAACATACGGAGCGTCTGAAACCAGTTCGACCGCCATTCTTTTTATGCACAACGAGACTTTCAAAACACCTTAAATTCATTTTTATTTGTACTGATGTGATAAGCTATACTTCATAGCTATAAGTTTATCCGGTGAGCTCTTATCATAATCATAATGACTGTTTGAACTATTTATGAACGATATTCGAATGGACTAACTTGGGTGTAAGGAGAAAAGATCTTTTTAAATGACTATCTTTCCCGTTCGGTATTAATCAGTCACTAATGCATGCAGCCGTGAATCTATAAACATGGAAATGGAAAGAAATAGAAGTTCAGTACATAAAACTGCAACAAGTTTTCCTTTATAGTGTGCCGTTTAAGACAAAGAAGATTCAGTAAACAAGTGGTGAAAATGATCTCTGAAAACCACCGTGTTCGTTTGCACCAAAGTTTGTCAATCATTAGCCCTAAGATTAACGTTATGCGTTCATCATCAATGCGCACACACGACTGTATGAGCAGTATTCAGTCACAGGACACTCATTCTCGCATACGAACTACCAACTTCTTGTGTAAGTTCACCTTTGGGCCATCTTTACTTAAAGGGTAGTGTATCAGTTGTTTTCGTTCACCTCTCCTAGAATTTAGATTCGGGATCATTATTTGACTCGCCAGTTTGTCCTAGGACAAGCTCCATACAGTACTTGATTTTTCTGAGAGAATGAAGAGGCCCTACTTTGTAGCACTTGGTGACCTCAAGTGAAGTAGTCTCACATTATGTGAAAACCCTTGCCAAAAGACAATGGGAATCGCTATTATTGATATACCGAAAAGCAATTTTTACACAGTTGAAATAAATTTTAGATCATTGGTGAAGAAGAAATCATACATATTTTTTATGGAACCGCGTGTAGGACCAGTGAAATATCACTTAGTCCTAGCAAAACATTCCGCAAGCCTTCATTAGATATCAAGTAGTTTGTCAGTCTTCATCAAGGTCAAGGACAACCAAGATGCATCGGCTGACAGCACTTCATGAATAGGTGCGTGTAGCAAGTGGTTCCGCTTTGTCTCCGTAAATTCTCGATAACAATTTACAATTTACCTAATATTTATTCTGGCCAGTCACCTGGTGATGACGATGGTATAATCCACGCTGACTGCAAGGTGTGACTTCTATGTATTCAAGGAAGTCGAACCATTCCTGTCCAAATAGAGTGCGACCGAAACACTGGACACAGATCACCTACGGTGATGATCTACACGTGCAACATAAGAACATGTAAGCCTAATGCGTTGGCATCAAACCGTAATGGAGTCTTGTGAGATTTTCTGAATTCACAGTCGAATTTATGACATTCGTTTTACCTTGAAGTAGAATGAAATGCATTAAATACAAAAACCTCGTCTTGATTGTGAATTGGTTGATAATTACTACTTGATCTGACTTATACACGTTTCAGCTTCATAAAATGATAAACGTTTTCGTTGTATGAATATCAAATCTTTTGATCGATATTATTAATCAATTAAAAATAACGATGAGATTGTTAGGGATGTATGTGTTTAAAGCTCCGTCGTTTAGCCAATGCAAAGTCTTCAAAGTAGTAATCAGCCAGACTCCTCAACCCAGCGTACAGTTTGTGGGAATGTCGTATGAATGGTTTGATGGGATACGACAACCTTCTTCTTTCTGAGATGGTGGAGAAGATTTATATCTCAAGTAGATAAATGTGGTGGTGGTGTCTGCTTCTCTTAGCTGGATGTTTTGGTTGTGGAGCTTTCATTGTTCTTCTGAACAACATCATCAGCACAAACTTTAGATAGAAGTGAAGCATTCGAATTTCTCCACGTTTGACCTGTAGTTTGTTCTGCTAACCTCGAACTTGATTGGTTGCTGTTGACCTTAAACCTGTCGTTGTTTGCACCTTTGTTTTGATTGCATCTGTTTCTTGATCCTCTGTCACCTATGATTTTGTTGATTAGTTGATAAATCGGGTCGATGTGTTTGTTGATTGTTGATTGACCTGAGTGCAAAGCTTCTAAAAATTCCCTAGTGTTCTTTGTCCTCCCCCTACCCAGAATCTCCACATTGTTCCAATCGAATGTGTGTGTCCATAATTGTTGGTATGTATTGATATAAGCGAAGCTAATTGGTGTTCACCTAAACGAAGCTGAAGAGGCCGTCCACTTTGTCCTATGTAGTGTTTTTGACAGTCTGAGCAATTTATTTTGTAGATGACATTTGGTATTTCTTGATTTGTCATTTTGTCCTTTGGTCTACATAGGATTGATTGAAGTGATTCTGTTGGTTCGTGTGCCACATTTATTCCAAATAGTCTCAGTAGATGTGCTGTATGCTCCGATATGTCTTTTATGTTTGGTAGGATGATCCGTTTATTGGTTCCGATGCTTGATTTCGCTTCTGTTGATGTTTTTTGATGAATGATGAATGACAAAATGTTTACCGATCCTCATCAGGATCAAGGACAATAAAAGTGCACTTACTGAATTCTAGCTACGGACAAGTGTATGTTAACGGAAACCCGTACTGTACTTCTGTTAACTGTTGATGCTAACAAATGTTCCAGTGGACATAATGCTTAGAGATAGTGTGTATAATTTAATTGACAACTGGCTGCGTGGTTTCTATTAACGTATTATGGGGTGAACTCGTTACTGTAAATGAACGTGAACGCTTTTCGATCGCTTCTACCCGTAGGGTGATGGCAATTAACTCATTGCATCAAGTATTTTTGGTTCGTAACTGTTTCAAACACGTCCGTCTAAAGTCAAACTATTATACAGGAAGACCGGAAAATGTGTAATGGAGTATGTAAATGGATTTCTACGGTGGCAGTTCCAATGGGTTCCAATAGGTGCACTCCTGAACTCGTTTCTCCCAGTCCAAGTTTCAGATAAAGCAAAAATTCTAGGAGAAAGCGTCTTTATTAATAAAAACATGGAAATACAAAGCAGTACCTGGAATTAATACACCTTCCAGGTTACAATTACTCCGAAGAGTATCTGAAACAAAAATAGATAAGTGACGTTAAGTCCAATAGCCACTGTATCAATCCAAATATGGCTGTAGCCATATTAAAGACCAAATTTAAACAACATATATACAGATCAGAAGCAAACACAAAAACTTCAATATAAGTACAAAATATAGAAATAATAACAATATACAATGATAAAATCTCAAATTGGAATCAAATAAAATGCCAAAAATGTCGACAGAAAAAGTCCGTCATGTCATAACAAAAATATATACACATGGAGGGATTTTCCAAAAAGCAAAACATTCAAAAAAGATTCTACACCGGCCCGCAAAATCCCTCCATGCAAAAAGGCAGGCGTTTAATGACACTACAATTTAGGGTTCTCACTCATCCCCTAATCCACACCGGAAGAACGTGTAGGACTTACAGCAGTAGGCCTACCCGCCATCCAACATGGATATGACCTATCAAGCTAACTAGGTACCTATACCTTCCCATCAGGCCCTTGATTCCCCTATCTATCGTGGCATGACCTAACGGTAGTATAAACCTTACCCAATTAACCCACACGAACATGTACAACACGTCGTAAAACTGGTCATATCCTATCCGGGAACTACATTCCATATCATGGGGATGAGTCATCAATACACCACCACTTGCTCCGATCAGCAGATACAATGAAGTCCGTGATGCTGACTTATCAACAGAAGTTCTTGACCCATAGATAATATGCAAGGGTGGGATCTCCAATTTTGACATTTCATCGTCTCCAGAAGACTTTAAGTAGCATAACATGGGATCAATATTTATCTCTCCATCTCCTGATACAGAGGAGGTTTGATCAGCATTCGTCATCGTCGGTAACTTATTTGTCACATCAGTGACATCTAGATCATTATCAACGTCATCATGATTCCGTTCTGTCAGACAAGTCGCGTCGATCCGGTCTGCACTAGCATCCGTAGAGTGGAACTCTTCCATTTTTGTATAACTCATATCACTACATGAAAGAACAGCATTAGTATCGCAATCCAAAGCCGATAAACTCACTTGTTGTTCTTCATGTTCCGTTTCAGAGACACAAGACATATGCACGTCAATAGCATCGTTATCATGCAACACTGTAGACTGACTATTACCATCAGACGCTTCCTTCTCATCATCACTTGACTGACAGTCAACCGAAGTAGGAACACTTACAGTTACACAACCCTGTGTATCCTCAATCAACTTAACATTCGTGACAAGGTCCGATGACGTCGAAACACTAGAAAGCTCGTTCGATGAAGTTGATCGACTAGTCACTATAAGTGGACTGCTCACACTTTCTGTCTCCTTATTATCGCTGTCACTACTAAGATTCTGATGACTACTATTTCCATTGCTAGTCATAGCATCCGAAAGAGAATGATGTTTAGGCTTCTTAATAATAGTAGCATCATGTTGTTTCTTAGGCTTCTTAGCCTTTACAGTACCGCCATCACTTATCCTAGAATCTACTCTAGGTCCCGTCATATAATTTACCCTAAGTGAAGGGTTCCGAACATAGGCTTTATTCCGTCCAGACAATCCTGCCTGGACCTTATTCATATTTAATGAATTCATTAACCTATGTTTACTCGAATCCAAATAACCGTTCCAGGCTTTTCGAGCAGCTAAGAGGCTTTGATCATCACACACTTCGGATCCATCTTGATGCCTACACCTTTCACCTTTTCCTTTCTTTTCCATACTTAGAAAAGCCATCTTATCTGTTACACCAACCGGCTTCTTACTGGGATACGCATCAAGAGGCTTTACATCGTTACGGTCACATACTCGTCCTTCATCAGCATATGCTTTCGTGATACAATTGACAACTCTCTTATCTTCCGGGCGTGCGTTAGGTAGAAACGAAGAATCCTCATGTCTCGCACGCAGACCACTAGTAGCTTCCGTATTATGTCCTGTTTTAGCCCGATAAGCTAATCTTCCAAACCTACTACTAGCTATCTTAGCACGAGACATAATAAATTCCGTCAACTCATTGAAATTATGCTCTCTCTCC